ATGTTGCAAATGTATTTAATGATATGAAAAGATCTAACCATATAGTCATCATCTACCTATTATCCCAACGTCTTCTTAGAGAAACCTAACAGTTTTCTCTCTTCGATCTCCTACACCTCTTCATCCATTCTCACTCAGCCTAACCTTGCTTCCTATTTTATTGACAAAACTCAATCAGAAAAGACTTCTGCAATTTACTAGCACAACACTGACCTACCAGCCAGCATCTCTGCCATAGATGTTCCTCTCTTGTTCCACTGGCTGGAACATCTTGGTGCAGACTAATTCCCTCACTTGTACACTAGATTCTGTCCCCTCTGCACCATCCATTAAAGAAGATGCACAACATCATAATGACACAAGAGGGCGCTTTAAATGAGGACTCTTGTAAACCACTCCAAATCAACAGTCTTGAACGGGTGTAAGCATAAGCATTCTTCATCTATACAAAACTTTTTTATGCCTTTTATTTTCATGAAATATCAGCCTTTCTTATATAATCAGATCTAAGTTACTTCTCCCATAGGGAGAGGACAGATGAAGGTACAGGGGAAACTGAACCACTTTCTCCAGTATTGTTCCTTCTTAGGGAAGGAAGCCCAGGTCTCTCGCTCTCTCTAGGTATCAGGGACAAGGGTTTTCCCCTCGAAGCAGAACGAGTCCTTGGAGTTCAATGTTCTGTTAGACCGTGGTGAATGCAGCAAGTTAAATGTCTGTCTTCCCTATTTTCTCCCAAGTGCTTCTGTCTTCAGAATAGTTTGATAGCCCTCAATTTTGTCTGATTTTTGCCAGTTAGGAGCTTTTGCAGGTGATGACTTAAAGGAGGGACAGGGTGAGTAGGGAATCTGCACTTGCACCCTCTGATTCCTCTTATGTAAAGCTGCAATTTTTGGAAAACTTAAGAAAAAATTTAAAAATTTTATTTGCATTTGTAGATATTTGATGCTAATTTTGGTACATCCTTGCCTAGCATAGGATCCTCTTCTGCTACTCAGCTTTCCTTCTCCCCCTTGCTCACCTGGGTTTTTTGCTGTCCCCATTACCACTAAATCCTTTGCTTGGAAGATTCCAAGCTGCATGTTTGAGCTGTGAGTCTTAGGATAAACCTACACTTGGGTTTACTGTCCCTCTAGCAAGAGCCTTGTGAGTCACTGCAACTGTTACAGAGAAAGAGCTGATAGTCCCCCCATAGCTCATCTGAATGCTGCTGCAGATTGTTTTCCTTCACCCAGGATCCTTATTTCATGTCTTCACGAGCATAGGACAGCAAGGAGGATTTCTTGTGGTAAAATGGGTCCAGGATCCTCCAGAGAGCCAAATAGTGCTATCAGAGCAATGCTTTAGACCAGTGCTCTCAGATGCTTTAGACCATCTTGATTCATCTTTCATCTTGTTCTTTTTTCAATGCTACTGCGGTACAGGTGTATTTGACTGCCATGAAAGCAATACATGGTCTTCATGGTTTTCCTTCTATGAGATAAGCTCTTGATTTCTACACACTACCATTTATCTTTTAGTTGTCGTCAGAGAGCCAGGGCTCTGGTTTTCTGGAGACAGTGCCAATTTACCCCTCTTTTCCAGCGGCCCATCTGATTTGTCTCCTTTTCTCTTCACTCTCAGCTGCTTGAGTTGAAATCTTGATTGTGAGGAAAGTATCTGTTCAAGTAGGTGCCTGCAGAGTTGACTGTTTGTGCTGTATCATGCTATAGACCTAAGATTAATGAAATCATCCCACGTTAGTGCTTGGTTTCTCTTCCCTTCCCCACCCCACCCTCC